AGATGATGTATAAATCTCAATTTAAAAAAATTGACCCTTATGACTGGTTTTGTGCTCCAGGGTCACATATATCTCATCATTATAATGGCAGTCGGTCACTCTGATATCGGTACGAGCGAACAGTCAGACTGCTTGTATTCATGATGAACTGTGTGTCTCCTCACAGCCGAGTACAAAACCCTGTGTCCCGGAGGAGAGGGCTTCCGGCCTAATCCCATCACCGTGATCCTGGAGGGTAAGAGCGGATGCTGTGATGCAGGACAGCGCCTGCGGTCTGGTGTGTGTGTGTGTGTAATGACGGCCCTCTCTGTCTCTGTGTCCCGCTCGCAGACATCGACGAGTGCCAGGAGCTGCCGGGTCTGTGTCAGGGGGGAAACTGCGTCAACACCTTCGGCAGCTTCCAGTGCGAGTGTCCCGCCGGATACTACCTCAACCAGGAGACGCGCATCTGCGAAGGTCATTTGAGTTCACCCGAGGCGCTCATATTTTATGATCGGTTCATTTTTAATGTTTAGTAACCTTTCATTATATTTGTGACCCTGGAGCACAAAACCAGTCATTAGGGTCAATTTTTCTACATTTGGATTTATACATCAGCTGAAAGCTGAATAAATAATCTTTCCATTGATGTATGGTTTGTTAGGATAGGACAATATTTGGCCGAGATACAACTATTTGAAAATCTGGAATCTGAGGGTGCAAAAAAATCAAAATATTGAGAAAATCATCTTTAAAGTTTAAAGTTGATTTTTGGCATAAAAGAAAAATCTATAATTTTGACCCATACAATGTATTGTTGGCTGTTGCTACAAATATACCGCAGCGACTTAAGACTGCTTTTGTGCTCCAGGCTCACATATATGCATTAATTTATTTGTTTGTGTAATTTACTTTTACTTTTATATAACAATAAATAATGTCTAATTAAACAATGGAATATTCATATTTCAATTACATATTAATTTTAATTGTATATTCATGTTTGTAATATTTTAATTACATTTATTGAATTTTAATGTTTAGTAACCTTGATTTATTTTAGGAATGTATTTTAATGAATTGTTTTATTTTTGACATTTAAATTGAATAACTTTTAATTAATTTCAATTTAAATGTATATAAAATTATATTAATATTTTAATAACTAAGTGATTGATTAAATTTACATTTATTTTTATTAATTATTTTATTCATTTATAAATGTGTGTAATTTTAATTAAATACATATTAATTAAGTGATATATAATAAATGTATAAGTATTTTAAAATTATATTTCAGTTTAAATTAATATTTTAATGTGTAATATACTTTTTATTGAATAACAACAATTACATTTTAGTTAATTTCAATTAAATGTTTATATTACAGTTATATTCATATTTTAATTTATATTAATATTTCAAGAATTACATTTACTTAAGAAATGTACATTTAAGAACTAAAAACTTATTTTAATAACATTTTACATTTACTGAATTTTATTATTTAGTAACCTTAGTTTATTTTATGAATTTATTTTTATGATTGTTTATATTATACTTATTTATATAATTTATATTAATATTTCAATAATTTAATGACTTTTAATTAACAGTTTTGCATTTATTGAATTTCAGTGTTTAGCAACCTTGATTTATTTTATGAACGTATTTTTTTTAATTACTTTGTGTGTCATTTTAATTAAATAAAATCTTAAATTTTATTTTTTATTTTATTAAGTAATTAAAAAAATGTATTAAATGTATATTATTTTAACAATTTAATTTACTTTAAATTACAATTTTAGATTTAGTACATTTTAATGTTTAGTAACTTTTTTTATTTAACTTTTTATGAATTTAATTTAATGAATTTGTTTAATTTACTTTCAATGAAATAATTAAAAGTATATAACTGATTTTTTTATTATGTTGCATGATTTCATTTGAATTATTGTAATAAAGACATGCATATATGTTAACTTCAGCAAACGTCTACAAGAGTTTTTGAGTGTCTGAATGCTGATGTTCTCTCAGATATTGATGAATGCACGGCGCACATCGGCATCTGCGGTCCAGGAACCTGCTACAACACGCTGGGGAACTACACCTGCGTCTGTCCTCCCGAGTACATGCAGGTGAACGGAGGAAACAACTGCATGGGTAAGAGCCGCTCGTCCAGCGCGTCGCCACTCAGTCACAGCTTCTGCAGCTCATCTGGGTGTTTTCTGCTTTGGTTTGGCAGATATGAGAAAGAGCGTGTGCTATCGCAACTTCAACGACACCTGCGAGAACGAGCTGTCCTTCAACATGACCAAGAAGATGTGCTGCTGCTCGTATAACGTGGGCAAAGCCTGGAACAGACCCTGCGAGGCCTGTCCCACGCCGGCCACATGTGAGTGTGTCTCGCAGCGCCGCTGGTTCTGTAGGGCATGAGAGCTGCCGCCGCTGCTGGAGAGGACCATTTCAGCTGCTTTTCTGATTGCACTGTCTTTAGTTTTACGTCAGATGTGATGCCAACAGCACAAAGCTTTGAATGCATAATGCATAAAATTACAAATATAAATACATATATCTCTCGGTTTCTGAGGGTGTGGCATTCAAATTGAGGCTACTTTTGCATAAAATTAAATAAAATAGTATAAGATGAAATACATTGCATAAAAATTAAATTTAGAAATATAAATAATTTAAGCAGTCATTGGCAAGTATTGGTTTCTGAGTGTGTGGCATTCGATTTTGCATAATTCAACATTCAACTTAGCATAAAATACAATTAAATAGTATAAAATAAGTTGCAATGCATTAAAAAATATTGTATATATATATATCTTTATTTAACTTTTAATTTTAATTTTTGCAGTCATTACTTAAATCTTGGTTTCTAATGGGTGTGCCAATCAGATTCAGGCAACTTTTGCATAAAATTAAATTAAATAACATTACATTACATTAAATTATATTAAATTAAAATAAACAGTCATTAGACTTGTTTTCTGAAGGTGGGGAATTGAAATTCAGGCTCCATTTGCATTGAATAAAATAAAAATGTATATAAATAGAAATAAATAAATTAAATGTAATAAAGTAAAATAAAAAATAAAATAAAAATATATAGAAAATAAATATAAACATAAATAATTTGGGTCTTAGTTTCTGAGGGTGTGGCATTCAAAGTCAGCATAAAATAAAATGAAATAAAATAAAAATATAAAATGCATTGCATTGCACACAAAACTCTCTCTATAAAAAATACATATATAAATAGGAATATTTGAGGCGGTCTTGTTTCTGAGGCTGTGGCCTCCACACTGATTGGTGTTTCTGTGTCTCCTGCAGCCGAGTACCAGCTGTTGTGTGGAAATCAGGCTCCCGGGTTCATCATCGACATTCACACCGGAAAACCCATCGGTGAGTCGCCTTGAGCATCTCACTTCATCAACACGAAGCTCTGCGCGAGCGCTTTCATACGAGCGGCGCGTTTGCTCTCCTCAGATATCGACGAGTGCCGCGAGATCCCGGGAATCTGCGCGAACGGCGTCTGCATCAACCAGATTGGCAGTTTCCGCTGCGAGTGTCCCATGGGCTTCAGCTACAACAACATCCTGCTCATCTGCGAAGGTACCGGCGCTCAGCTGCCTTCACACTGAAGACCGCTGGCGTGTTTCTTGACTTACACCGTCTGTTCACCACAGATATGGACGAGTGCAACAGCGGCGACAGCCTGTGCCAGCGCAACGCTAACTGCATCAACATCCCCGGCAGCTACCGCTGCGAGTGTTCGGCCGGCTTCAAGCTGTCGCCCAGCGGAGCCTGCGTCGGTGAGTCCACACAGTCCGCCAGTGTTTACCAAATGTACTCAATAAGAAAAGAATAAAAAATTTAATTCAATTCAAATCATTAGATGTGTTAGTTTTTGGAGTTGTGGCATTCAAACTCAGGCTGCATTTGCATTAAATGCAAATAAAATAATTTAAGTAGGCATTAATTGCACACAAAATGAGTGCAATTTTCTGCTCAAAACCACTTGCACAACTTTAGCAGGTACAATATGTGCTGGTATAATGTTATCGGTATTGAAAGCGCAATGAAAAGTGCAACTGTCATTATTTTCAAGGCAAACACAAAAAATAAGGTTCAAAATGAAATGCACCACATTTACAAACATCTGCGCCATTTATATAATTAACATGGTTTTGGTTATATAATTTTAAAGGGATGCTTGTGTACATTTTCTAGTCATTGTGGCAGCAATAATTGAATGTAATAATTTAATTTTCTTTTCAAATTGAGACTGAATTTGAAAGCCACACCTTAAAAGACCAACCCAACTAATGACTCCTTAAAGGGGTCATATGATGCAATTTCAAGTTTTCCTTTCTCTTTGGAGTGTTACAAGCTGATTGTGCATAGATGAGATCCCTGAAGTTGCAAAGACTAAAGTCTCAAAACCAAAGAGATATTCTTTATCAAAGTTAAGACTCTGCCACACCCCCTAAAACGGCTCGTTCTAACACGCCCCCACATATCTACCTCACTATGTGGAAATATTTGCATAATGCCGCCCAAATGTGCACGCAAAGAAAGAAGGGGTCACATCACAGTGGAGTCAGCTGTCTTAACCGTGGCTTGTGTACTGCAAACACATACCAGCTTCATCACTGTGTCTGTCACGCGACTCTGTTCCCCTTTCAGGCTTGAACTGATGGTAAAACTAATGACATTATTTACTGTCTTTACATTTATTTTGAAAGATGAAGCTTGCGATTATGGTAAGGGGCGTTACATTTCCGACGAGTGCTTGCGGTGTTCGGCCAATCACAATGCACTGGGTCAGCTGGCCAATCAGAGCAGACTGCGCTTGTCGGAAGGAGGGACTTTGTAGAAAATGAAGCGTTTGAGAGAGGCGGGGCATAGAGGACCTACAATAATGTACAGTATTTGAAAAATAATGTGTTTTTTGAACATTAAAGCATGTCAACATATTCTGTTACACCAAATACACAAAATAATGATCTTTAAAAAAGCATCATATGACCCCTTTAAATTATGTATATTTATTTTTTATTTTGTTTTGTTTTATTTTTTCACTTTCACTTTTTTTTATTTTATGCAAATGGAGTTTAAATGACATGCGTTCAGAAAATAACCCACCTAATGACTGCTTTTATATATATATATATGTAATTGTTTTTATTTTATTTTATTTTATTCTATTCTATTCTATTCTATTCTATTCTATTCAAATGGACCCGGAATTTGAATGTCACAAATTCAAAAACCAACCCATCAAATGACTGCTTAAATAATTGTTTTATTTTTATATTTATTTATTTTTATTTAATGGCTGCTTAAATAATTTAATTTTATTATTTTAGTTTAGTTTAGTTTAGGTTTTTTTATCCAATTTAAAAAGACTTCATTTGAAAGCCACACCTTCGAAAACCAACGCAACTAATGACTGCTTAAATGATTTATGTTTATTATTTTCTAAACATCAACGTCTGGCTGATTTTGTGGCTGATTTTCACGAGCCCTGTAGTGAAAATCAGCCACACTTTTTTTAGTGCATTCGTTCCTGCGAAACATTTTTCTCCACATCTTCATCAGACTTATTATAAACCACAGACTAAAGAGCTGTGAGTCTGATGGGATCTTGTGATTGTTGTGGCGTGTTTTGTCAGACCGTAACGAGTGTCAGGAGATCCCGAACGTCTGCAGTCACGGCGAGTGCATCGACACTCAGGGCAGCTTCCGCTGTCTGTGCCACAACGGCTTCAAGACCACGCCGGACCAGACCATGTGCATGGGTGAGTGTCTGTGGCGGTTTCTGTCGTCTGAAGCGAGTCTGGCATGTGATCGGCTGTCTCTCGTTGTCTCTGGCAGATATCGACGAGTGCGACAGACAGCCGTGTGGAAACGGTACATGTAAAAACACTGTGGGCTCCTACAACTGCCTGTGCTTCCCCGGCTTCGAGCTCACGCACAACAACGACTGCATGGGTAAGACGGCACGAGAACACTGCTATTACAGCTACTACAGCTTCTGCGCGCTTATAGATTGAGAAAAGAAGCCTGTTGGAGTTATACAGCCATAATATATTTCCATAATCTGATTATGTGTTAAATTATTCCTTTTTCCTTTAATCAGAATGAAACTTTACAGTTTTAAAATTGATTTGAAACTTTTTCTAATGTGGTTTTAACCATTTAACTCTTTAAATAAATAATTAAACATTTAATATCGCAAAGAAATGTGCATATTATCAGCATTATTTATGTATTGTTGTATGAGTTTGAAATAGTTTAAAATAAATTGTCTAATTATAAAGTTTCATTTTGATTTCACATTTCTTGACGATGTTAAATTGTTAATTATATATTTATGAGTTTAAATGGTTAAAATCACATTATGAAAAGTTTCATTTTGATTAAAGGAAAGGAAACATTTTAGTCATTAATGCTGATAATATGTATATTTATTTACAATATTACATGGTTAATTGTGTATTTAAAGAGTTTAAATGGTTAAAATCACATTATAAAAAGTTTAAAATAAATTGTAAAATTGTAAAGTTTAATTTTGATTACACATTTATTTCCGATATGAAATTGTTGATTATGTATTTAAAGAGTTTAAATGGTTAAAATCACATTAGAAAAAGTTTTAAATTAATTTTTACATTTTAAAGTTTCAATGAGATTAAAGGAAAGGAAACTTAAAATGTATTTTAAACTTTTTAGTGATTTTAACCATTTAAGCTCTTTTAATTAACAAATTAAAATTGCAAATAAGCAAACTCTGACATTTTAGAGTTTTCTTGCATTGTGACAGTCACTATTTAAACTCTTTAAATACATAATTAACAATTTAATATCATAAAAAAATTGCATATTATCAGCAATAAAGGCAAAATCAGAATTAAACTTCACAATTTTAAATGTCCTTTAAACTTTTTGTATCCTGAGTTTAACTAATTAAACTCTTTAAATACATAATTAACTATTTAATATTGTAAAGAATTGTGTATATTAGCAGGAAAGACTCAAATGTTTCCTTTAATCAAAATGAAACTTTACAATTTTAAATGTAATTTAAACTTTTTATAATGTGACTTTAACCATTTTAACTTTTGAAATACATAATTAACAATTTAATGGTGTAAAGGAATGTGCATACGATCAGCAGTAAAGACTAAAATGTTTAATTGTCTTCGATCAGAATGAAACGTTACAATTTAAAATGTATTTTAGACTTTTTATATTGTGATTACAATTATAATTAACCATTTATTATCTAACATTTAAATATCTTGAATATATGAATAGATTTGCATGTCAGCAATAATATAAATTCCACAGAAGATGCTTTTATTTTTGTTTTAATGTGGTTGTCAAAGTGTTAATTTTATACAATTTAATAATTAAAGGCTGTTTATGCTAAATAAGAGCAAAAAATGTGCAAATGTACATGCAAAGATAATGCAGTCATAAATGTCCGTAAATACTGTTGGCTATTGTTTTGGATGTTTTTATGAAAATCTTGTAATTGAAGTTGCAAAATACAGATCACCGTTTGTTATTGATTCTGTGGGTTGGATGTCAAAGTTTTTGTGATCACAGTGAAAGCAGATGTGGTTTATGGTGAGGAATGACTGTGAAGGGTTAATGGTGTGATGTGTTGGTGTTCAGATATCGACGAGTGCAGCGTTCACGCCAGTCAGGTGTGCAGGAACGGCCAGTGCATCAACAGCATGGGCTCCTTCAGGTGTCTGTGTCTGGATGGGTATAACCTGACGCCGGACGGCAAGAACTGCGTCGGTGAGACTCGCTGCTCGTTAACCAGCTCATCAACCCGCCGTCTGTTACTGTACACTCCTGTAGCGCGTTAACGCTTTACAGTCCTCACCGGAGATCAACACGGCCTTCCAGTCCATCCAGAGAGATAATTAAACACCTCAACATCCATACGATTGATTCAGAGAGTGCAGATCTCCAGAGAAAACTTGCAGCTTTCTGCTCTTTAGTTCAGAAACACATCTCGTGTTTTAACCCATAGACCCAATTAGCGAATTAGCATCAATCTTTGAAGTAAAAGTATAGTTTGATAAAATAAGAGTAATCACACTCCTAAAATAACAGTCCCCATGCATGTTGTTGTTGTTTGGGTTTTTTTGTTAGCAATATAAATATTTATTATTTACATTTAATACCTATAGCGTGTTTTTATAGTTGTACTTATATAAAATATTTTGAAATAATATTGCTAATTTATAAATATTGCAAATATTTTGTATATATTTTATAGAATGTTTTATATAATATATTGACATTAATAAATATTATTTTATTTTATACCTAGTATAAATTTATATATAAAATATATGTATATTAATTTGCTTAAACATTGATAATTTACTATATATATATATATATATATGACAATTGGATAATGTAGGGTGTTAAAAACATCATTTTAAAAAATATATATTTTTTAAAACTAAAAAATATATATTTATAAATATTAATTATTTATTAATTAAAATTAAAATATTCATTCAAATTAGCTTCAAAAATATTACATTTAAAATCAATATTTTGCAACAGAATTAGATCACAGGGTGTTTTATTAGTCATTTTAGCATGAATTTATGTTTTACATAAAAACTTTTTACAAATGAAATGTATACATATTTTATATTTAATAGATTTTATATGAATAGTTTTTCATATATTTTATAGAATGTATAAATATAATGCATACAGATTTTATATCTATTATATTTTATTATGTGTTTTATATTTTATATAA